ACTAAGCAATAAAAATCAAATCTTTAGCCCTAACATTAATCCTGGGCACCGTGCCGTGCCGGGCCGCGGGCTGGTTCGTGCCGTGCCGGTCGTGCCGGCGGGCCCAGGATTTCGTGCCGTGCCGTGCCGGCCATTTTCACAGGCCAGCCCACGGCACGGCACGGCCCTCGTGCCTGGCGGGCTCGTGCCGTGCCGGCCACGTGCCGGGCTGCGGGCTGGCCCGCGCGGGCTGGTGCAGTTTCAATTTTTTTTTTTTTTTTTTTTTTTTTTTTTTTTTTTTTTTTTTTTTTTTTTTAATGACAACATTATTAATTAATAAGTTTATAATGTATATAAGTTATAAAATTATAATTATAAGTTTTATAAGGTAACTTATAAGTTTATAACTTATAAGTTATAAGTTATTAAGTTATGAATTTTATAATTATAAGTTGAATATTTATGTTTTATAATTTGTATATTCAATATTTATATTTATATATTTACTTTATACTATTACTTTAAAATTTAATGTTTATGATTTATTAGTAATTGGTATAATTTTATTTTTTTTTAATATGAATTTACAAATTGTAACAAAACGGGGAAAAAAGGCAAATTGGACTTTGGATGTGAATAATGCGTACTTTATATTATTATTACTTGAGTTGAGAAAATTGTACAATGATAACAATGATAAAAATCATACAATGATGGTATTAAACAAAAATTGGAAAATGATAAAATTGATATTTTTAAAATCGTACAATATACAATAATTGTCTATTCTTCTTCTCCTTCTTCTTGCTCGTCTTCGTCTTCGTCTTCGTCTTCGCCTTCGCCTTCAAGGTCATCGGCTAGTTGCATAGATTGGGAACTACCCGAACCCGAACCGGAAGCGGAGGTTCCTTCTTCGTTGTCGTTGTGGTCGTAAGAACGGTCTTGTGAGCGATTTTCCGCATCCAACCAATCTTTGAAACACACGCACATTTCTAGTGTTTCGGGTTTTAGACTTGTTCTTCTATCGTCTAAAACCCTTCCGGATGCGCTGAAAGCTCGTTCGGAGGCGACGGAGGAAACTTGGATAGCAAGAATGTCTCGTGCCATTGCCGCCAAAGTTGGATGCTTCGAGCTTTGTTGTTTCCACCATGCAAGGAGGTCGAGGCTGTTTATCTCATCGTCGTCCATGCCTTTGGTGAAGTCGTAACTCAGGTACATCTGCAACTCCGAGACGTCGCTTTGCGTTCTCCTGATTGATGAATCACCTGAAAACCTTGAAATCAAGTTAGTAGCTTGTGAAAATAAATGTTTGGCCTTCTTACTTACGTTTTTAGATGGTTGGGAAGGCCCTGAGCGAGGAACGGTGCCATATTTGGCTTCATAGACTCTATATAAAGCAAAAAACTGATCCTTCACATTAGTCTTATAGTTTTCTACATCATCGTCAAGAAACATGCATTGAAAGTAAATGTCAACTAACAGTAGAAACATGCATTTAATTAGTTTTCTACATCATCGCCACTTTTTTTCCATTGCTGGAAGATACTGATCATAATCACTTTGATCGCGATGATCAGCGAAAAGTTGGGCGAGTAAGCATGCATTAGAAAGAAAGTTTTGAGCACAAGGATTGTAAACAGTAGAAAAACAATACGTCATGTTATATAATAACTGTAAAAATTGCATATATCTTTCACAGTTATTCCAATCATCATCATACAAAGCATTTTGTGGAAATTTTTGGTTGTAAAATAATGTTAACGGGCCCTTGTACTCAATTGCCTTTGTTAACATGTCATAGGTGGAATTCCACCTAGTTGGGCAATCGGTTCTAATTTTTATTACCCTTATCTTTTGTTGTTTTAGAAAACTCTTCCATTCTTGGTATCTCATGTTAGAGCTATTAATAGACATAATAGCATCTCTGATTTTGCTGTAGTATGGGCCAATTGCCCGAACTCCATCCTGTACACATAAGTTAAGTACATGGCAAACACATCTAGTATGAAGAGCTTCACCGTCTAATAGTACATCGGTTAAGTTTTGTTTGATAAGATTAGCTGTGTATGTCATAGAGGTTGCATTATCAAAAGTCATAGACATCATTTTATCTCGAAGGTTGTATTCGTCTATTGCTTGCATTAAATGGTGAGCAATGTTAATGCCGGTGTGTGGGTATTCCAGCATTTTGAAATGTATTATTCTTTTTTGTAACATCCATTGATCATCTACCCAATGGCAAGTCACACATAAATAGTGATATTTATAACCACTATCCCAAGAATCGGCTGTTAAAGATACTCTACAGTTAAGGTTACTCAATTCGGCTTGTAACCGGACTTTGTACTCTAGGAAATTTTTCATTGCTGCGGAACGAACGGTTTTCCTAGAGATTCTTTTATGTTGGGGTTGTAGTGCTTTGTTAATGTAGGTGTTGAATGCGTCACTTTCCGAGAAAAGAAAAGGTTGTTCAGCGTGTACTATCATTTTTCCTAGTTCATCCCTATCCCTCTCATAGTTGTATGTAAAGCCGTATGGATGGAATTGGGAAATTTTGGGCTGGGTTGGATCACTAGCTGGTTTTGCACAAGCTTTCATGTGTCTAGATAAGTGTCCCGTCCCGTTTTTGGTAACTGCCGTGAATACACTATTACATGTTTTACATTTTGCCCATTGTTCACCATCTTTACTTAGGACAAAATAACGCCATACCTCACTCCTTCGGTTTTTCAAAAGTAGCATCTCAGTTTCGGTTAACCATTCATGATGTGTGTATTGGTTAGTAGGGGGACTAGTGGGAGTGGCAGTAGAAGGGGTAGTAGAACCGGAGGGAATTCGGGTACTTTCTTGGCTACCTTGGCTAGAACAATAGTTTTGTTGATTACCGATATAATTAGGTGGAAATTGGTATGGTGGTTGTGGAAATTGGTTTAGTGGTGGTGTTGGAAATCCCGACGTATTATATGGCTCATAGCCCGGGGGGAAGTAAATGGGGTCATTGGTTTGACTCGTAATTTGGGGGCTCGTTGTATTTGGTGGTTCCCTAGAACTACTACTACGGATAAGTCGGCCTTTCCCCCTAGACCTAGATGATGGGTTGTTCGATGCCATAATTAACAATTAATTTTTTAATAAAAAGTGGTTAACTATAATAATAATAATTAATAACAACAATTTTAACAATAAAAATATCAATAATATTAATTAATAACAACAACTATAACAATAACAATAACAACAAAAATAAATAATAACAATTGTAACAATAATAATAATTAATAACAACAATTATAACAACAACAATAACAATTAACAACAATAATAATTAAACAAGATTATTCTAATAATAACAATAAAACAATAATAAATTTAAGATTAGTTTAGATCTTACAACCGTGCTTCAACGCTCCACTAATTACGATTACGAACTTTTTAATTTTTTCCGATATTAGGAAAATAATTAGAGAATTTAAGAGAATAATTAGAGAATTTAAGAAAATAAGGATTATTAGAGATTTAGAGAATATAAGAGATAAGAAGAAGAGATTGTGATTTTGTGATTTGGGAATGAAATGGAGGTGAGTATTTATAGAATTTTTGGGGAGAAAACTAGCCGTTTAACTAGCCGTTGAACTAGCCGTTGGCCCGCGGGCCGTGCTTGCGGGCCGTGCCTGCGGGCCAGCACGGCGGGCCAGCACGGCGGGCCTTGCTCGTGCTCGTGCCGGGCCGTGCCTGGGAATTCTCCACCGTGTCCGTGGCACGGAAGTCGAAGTTCGTGCCGTGCCGTGCTTGACTTCGGGCCGTGCCGGGCTGCTCCGAACGGCGGGCCGTGCCGGGCGGCACGCGGGCCAACCCGGCCCGTGCCCAGGTTTACCTAACATGATACTAACAATCATAAATATTAGGAAAAACATAGGAAGCATCGCAACAATCATATTTAATATTAAAATTACCCTAGACATGATACTAGGAATATCATAATAACAATATAAACATGATTTCTACATCATAATATTAATAAAAACCATTAAAGCACTTACTTGGATGCTTCGTACCTCTTTATAATAACAAAATACACACGTTAGTAACTTCAAGGAAAATAATAAAACAAACAATTAAATTAAATAATCGAAAGAGAGATTTGGGACCAAACCCTCAGAAATTAAACCTTTCATGTCTAGGGCGAAGGCAACTTCGAATATGGCTAGGTGTTTCTAGATCTCGCGAATGCGGAATTTTGTATTTGAGAAAAGGCTAGTTTAGAAAGAGAGAGAGAGAGAGAATAATCAAGAAAATCTTGATGAGAGTTGGTGAATGATTAAGAGAGAATTAGAGAATTGAAGATTGCGAATGAAAACTGATTGTAGGTGAATGAAAACGGAGTTTTTAATATGTTATTTATAGAGAAATCAGCCAAAAAGATGAAATATCAAAACAGAGCATTTGGCGCACGCAAAACGAGATTGGCGCACACAAAACAGAGCTGGCGCAGCACCAGCTAATTGGCGCCAGGCGCCAATGGCTAGCACCAGGCGCCAATGCCTGGAGTCAGGCGCCAGGCCTGTTTTTGACGCGTTTTCGAAAATAAGATAAGTTTTGCCGTTCAGGAGGATAAAAATCGTATATTTTCCTCGAAAATGCTTTTTGATTTTAATTAAAACTCTGAAAAGGCAACAAAAAATCAATTTATCAATGCTAATTGAATTAGGAATGAAAAGAACCTTCTAGAAGAATCTAGAAGACTAAAACTATTGCTAATTGCATTAGGAATGATAAATCATATTAGGCCCTCCTCTAGATCATTGGGCCGTACATAAGGCTCAAATTGGGCCCAGTTTAGTAAATTGGCCATAACTTCCTCAATATTCATCGGAATTAGGCTTATAATATATCGTTGGAAAGGTCTTTGCAAGCCCCATCCAACTACACTGTTATTGGACCCATATCATGGATCAACCAAACTGGATTGGCTGTTTTCTTAAAATATGTTTTCAAAAACAGAGAGAAGAGAAAAGAAATTAAAACTTTCCGCAACACTAGACTTTCCACACTTTTGCTTCATTCGATTATGATTCGACGTGAAAGGTACTCATCACTGGGTTTGGTTTTGGGGAGACGCATTTGGGTGACTACACCTACTTATTAGAGGAGATCTTTACCTTTTGTTCCCACTATTTTGAAGATCATGTTAACACAAAAGTGGGCAGTCTAGGATTGAATCTTAATGTTGATGAAGAATCTATTGGTAAAGATCTACCTGAAGTTTTCAACTGTAACACTGGTTATAGTCCATCAGAAGGTCAATTTGGTTATCTTACAGAAAAGGACTACAATGTTGCCCATCGCTATGTCCTTGGTAATTGTGAGCTGCTGTCTAATTTTGAAAGGTATGGCTTTAATTTTAGTTAGGTATCTGAGCCTTAGATTATATTCTTACTTTTATTAACTAATACACCAAGAAATTTTATAGTTTGTTTGAAGAGCATGTGATGAGAACTTATGGTTGCTTACATATAGAAGATATTTGGACCAATTATGATCAACAATTTTCAGATTGGTTCAAAGAACATGTAAGTCAATAAAATCATGTAATAAGATATAATATTTATTGGTTATTTAAATGAATAATTTCATATTGTGGTTATTTTTTAGGTATTGGATATGGGCACAAATGATGACATCATTTATTCATTAACAATCGGTCCATCGACAAGGGTACGAAAATTTGATAAGTACCACATTAATGACTACCAATTTCACACATTCAACTATGGTAAGGATAAATCAATCACAAACTTTGGTGTTTGTGTGAAAAGTGTGGAGGGGAATGATTATTTTGGGACTCTTCAAGAAATAATCGAAGTAGTTTACATTGGTGCTAAAAGGAGCTATAAAACAGTTTTGTTCAAATGTGAGTGGATTGATCCTAGACAAGGTACTCGAGTGCATGAAAAATATAAAATTGTAGAGGTCAATCACCTGAAAAAATACCCAAAAAATGATCCATTTGTGTTGGCTTATCAGGTGGATCAAGTGTATTTTGCACCAAATCCAACTATGAAAAAGAGAGGAATCCATGGCTACATGTCTTTAATGTCAAACCTAGAGGAATCATTGATGCCCCCATCAGATGAGTTGGCATTTCAAGAGCTGGACATTCATAATACTCCATCACTTTGTGAAGTTGAGCAAGATGAGATTGATGAGGTTGATCAGCAAGAAGGAGAAGAAGAGGAATATGATGAAGAAAAAGAAGAAGAAGAAGAAGAAGAAGAAGAAGAAGAAGAGGAGGAAGAAGAGGAAGAAGAATTTACTGATGGAGAAGATGATGAAGATGAAGATGTTGAAAATTAAACTAATGACAAACCAGAAATTTAAACTATCTGATTTTAATTTAACTTGTTGTCTAATATGCTTATTAATTTAAACTTAATATTGAGTCCATTGACATCTAGTTGGATTATTATCATATATGTTTTCTTTTCTTGCATATTACATATAATTTTAATGAGATGTTATTATGCATGTATGTTTGTTTCTGTATGAAATGTGCAGATGGCTTATAGACGTAGAGGTGGTTTGAACGGAAGAGGTGCAATCATTCGACCTCTAGGCTATCGTAATACAGGGATAGAAACTCCCTACACTATGGCTGAAGAGTTGAGTCATGAGATGCCTGGTAATAGTATACCCACCCCGATTTCAAATACCCAGCTCCACACAACTACCAGCACACAAAATCAAATGTCTAACATTGGAGCAGCCACGGAAGCACCCATGAACAATGTACCAAATGTCGTACTTAACCAGCCTGAGGTGCCTAATTCTATGACTCAGACAACAGCTCACCAGGAGCCTCAGATAGACCAAGTTGATTCACTGCATAATAATAGTAATGTAAATGTATCTGATGAGACAGGTAATCCAGAAAAGGTTGATTCAGTGTTGCATCCTAATGGATTATGGTCAGTTGCATATACTTATAACAAACAAAGTTCTATACACTTACTGTATTTTATTTTATTTTCAATGAGATTATTTTAATATTCAGCTTTAAATAGGTTTACCCATTGAGATGTGGTTGATAAAGTATCTGAGACATTATATAAGGAATACTTTAAGGGACCATATTACAGTTGGGGTATGACTCCACTAGATGTACAACAGAGATGGTGGAATGCTTTCAAGGTTTGTCTTTTATAAGGTTTTTGTCCTAGTTTCTTTTTGCTTACTTTGTCATTTGGAAGCTGCAATATTTATTTTATATCCCAATTAATAATTGTAATAAAAATTACCTTTGGTTGATCTTGCTTATTTAACTATAGCATGAGTTCTCATGGGATCCATCAATAGCTGTGCAAGTTAAGAAGGGCTGGAAATCAAAATGCAGTAGGTGTATTACTGATATGTTGTCAAAGATTTGCACAGAACCTGACTATAATGCACAATTGTGCCCTCCTACAATAAGGGAGCAAATGATTCAAATGAGATCTAAAGAAGATTTCCAAGAAAAGTCAAAGCAATGTTCAAAAAATCGAATGGGCATCGGAAACCAAAAGATACACCATCGACAAGGATCTATATCTACTGAAGAAGTGAGGCTGAAATTGGTACTGATTTTTCCATGCCTGAAATTATAATTTGAATTGTTAAAACATTATGTTAAAATAAGATAAGATCTATATATATATATTTGATTTTATATCTCCTTAGTTATATATGCAATGCTAATGCTAATGTTAGTGTTAATATATGAACAGGAAAAGAAACTGAAGCGTAAGCCAACTGCTGCCGAACTTTATTACGAATGTCATGGTGATAGCGGGGGTCAATTTGTTAATGCCAAGGCAGAAATGGTGTGGGTGAGTATTGTTCTCTACTCTTAACTAATAAATTTTAGCATCTTAAAACCAAGCTTTATTTGATGTCTTGTGTATTCGAGAACCAAGCATGATGAATATTGTCATATTAATGGATTTACATTGTAAGTACTTATTAATTTTTTATAATGCTTGATATGATTAATATTGAAACGGGTTAAAATGAAAACAAGTTATAGAAAATTTGATTGATGGATATTGCCTTATCCATGCATTTACTTTGTATGTAATGTACAGAACATATTATGGAAAATTAGCTTGATGAATATTTTTTTTCTTGGAATGATTTAAAACAGGTTAACATTCAGGTAATAGAAAATTAGCTTCATTTTTAGGGGAAGTGCTGCCAAAGTTTTTAATGATTACCTAATGAGGCTACTTTAACCTCTTATTCACTATGTTAGTTGTATATGTGAAGTTCATGTAAGTTTTGTTTTTCTTAATTTTTCCAGAATGAATTTTCAAGTATAAAAGCTGCCAACCTTGAATGTGAAAGTGAGAATAAAAAAACAGAAGACGAGTTGTTCCTTGAGGCTGTAGGTGGGTGGAATGAGAAGGGAAGATTATTTGGTTTGGGAGCAGCTGCTGACTCATATTATGAAAGACTAGGAACTGAAGTAAAGAGGGTAAAGAAATCAAGAATGCAGCATGCAATGGAGTTGGAGAACAAGTTTATCGACCTCCTTACGGAGAATGCAGAACAAAAGAAAGAGCTTGATGCAACAAAAGAGAGCCTAGTCGAAACTCAAAAAAGTCTTGCGGATACTCAAAACATTTTGAAGGCCCTTAAACAGCAAGTGCAAATGCTTTTACAAAACAACAAAATCTCAGTCACTCCTACATCTACGTCTTCCCCAACTGATGGATGATCAACACTATAGTTGATTAACATGACTCTTTGTACATGCATGTGTAGTCAGTAAGTTATTATATTATTTGACATGCTTCTAAAACAGGTTCAAGCTAGGTAGCATATTTTGTAATTATATATGGCACTAAATAGGTTCAAGTTAGGTAGCATATTTTGAGGGCTTCTTATGTATTTCAGTTACAATTCTAACAGCTCTTTCCTTGAAGCTACATACGTAATTATGAGCTTGGCCTTTTAAATATTTGCTTAGATCATTGTATTGGTAACATTCTAAGTAACAGTGCATATAAATGTCACGTGACCATTTAATTAAGTGATGATTGAAAATTTATAATAATAAAGAAAAAACCAAAAAATAATAGAAGCGACGGATATATCCGTTTCTAATGTTAGACAGATTACATATTTCCGTTGCTAATTTTAGAAACGGATTATATATTTCCGTTGCTACTTTAGAAACGGATTATATATTTCCGTTGCTAAGTTTAGCAACGGATTACATATATCCGTAGCTAGGTTTAGAAACGGATTATATATTTCTGTTGCTAACTTTAGCAACGGATTATATATTTTCGTAGCTAGATTTAGAAACGAATTATATATTTCCGTTGCTAAAGTTTGCGACGGAAGTTTTATTTCCGTTTCTAAGTCATTGCAACAGAATTTGAAATGGAAAATATTCCGTCTCTAAATAAGCTACGATTGTACATGGTTTCTGTCGCTAAGCTCATTTAGCGACAAGCCTTTTAACAACGGAATGATTCCGTTGCTAAATCCGTTGCTAACTAAATCTAGCGACGAATAAGTGGAACATAGCAACGGATTCGACCTGTAGCTAAATGACCTGATTTTTGTAGTGTAATTTTGCTTTTGTGATCTACTTATATCAATGTCATAAAACAAAATAACTCATATCTAGCATAAATAAAAAACAATTTATTACCTTGGTCATGGATCAACACTAGTCCAAGCCTAGTAAAAACCAAATCAGTATTCAAACTAATACTGAAATTTATCTCATCAAAACTGGAAATTGTTCTAGAATCATGATAAACTAATCAATAATAAAACTATGAAGCTATCTTTGGCCACTCAAACACTTCTAGTGCACCTTCAAGCTCCATTTCCATCCTAGCTTCACTTGTTTGCATATCCTACGCAACATTAATAATGTTAATAAGCACTGCAACTTGGTATCACATACCTAAGTGAAAGTTAAAATGTTAATAACATAATACATGAGGTTGACGCTCCATTCTTCTTGAGGAAGTCAAGGTATTTCTGGAAATTGCGTTTCCAATGCCCCTTCTTCTTACAGTAAAAGCATCCACTTTCACTTGCAGCCTTGGGTTTTGGACTCGCCTTAGGCTTCTCAAGAGCCTTGGCAACTTTCTTGCCCTTGCTCTTGGCACTAGCCTTTTTCCCTTTCTTCTTGAACCCCTTTCCCTTTTGAATCATAAGAACTTCCTTCTTAGGTTCCTTAGGGGTTTGCTTTTCAGCACTAAACAGCATTGCGTGCAATTGATTCATAGTCTCTGCAGTCGCAGTCATGTTAAAATTCATGATAAACTAGCTAAAACTCTCTAGAAGTGAGTGGAGAATGATGTCTGTTGCCATCTCATCACTGTCTGGGTGCCCCAGTTTCTCCATATTTTCAATAAGGCCGATCATTTTGAAAACATGATCATGAACTGTGGCACCCTTCTCCATCCTACAATCCAGAATCTCACGATGGAGCTCGTACCTTTCAACTCTAGCTTGTTTCCGAAACAAAGCTTTAAGTTCTTGTATGATTGTGTACGCATCCTGATCCTCAAAACGCTTTTGTATACTAGGTTCCATGGAGGAAATCATCAAGCAAGTGATAGGCACAATACAACTCTTCATGAGCTTCCTTGTGCTTCTTGACTTCTACCGTAGTTGCAATTTCAGGCAGAGGTCCTGGCAATGGGGTGTCAATGACATCCTCTCTACCTTCAGATTTCAGAACGAGCCTTAGCATTCTTTCCCAAGTGGAAAAGTTTTCTCCTGTCAACTTATCCTTCTCAAGGAATGGTCGAAGATTGTAAGTGGTGTTGTCATTGCGATTACGGCTACCCATCTAATTCAAAATAAGGAAAAGTTTAATAATTCTGTTTAATTAAAATTTAAAGTACCATAAACGAATTAATTAGGTAACTTTAAAGCACTTTATTCAACATTAATTGATCCCAATTGAATTTTAAGTGATTCCAAGATCCTTTATTTGTGTAATAGTTGATCGGACTGAGGCCTTACCATCAAGCATTACACTTTCAAGGTGAGTAAACTCTATACTGATTACAACTCTTGTAACTCTTGGTTGAATAATTAACCATAACATTCTTAATTATTAACCATTGCTTCAAGGTTTTAAACGCTTTAGGTAACCTTGTTGAGCATAACCAATTAAATATGTAGAACATGATTTACCCCACAATGCCTAAAATAACAAATGACACTCTACGGAGGCCGACCTATCACTCATTATCCAAAGATTGTTGGGTATCTAACTGGAAAAACAATCTTAATATTACTGGGACATTGATTCATTTATGTTGTGATTATTTACTGAACTCTAGTGCATCATCAATCAACATAAATAAAATCTAACATGCATAATCTACTAATGCAATAAACCATGACATAGTATGGCCCCTTAGTATTAAGAAAACAAGAAATGAAAAGCTCCCACTTGAACTATCATGGATCTCCATCCACCTTGCTCCTCTGGGCCTTCACTTCATGGGCTTCTTTGGACTAACACTATTTAAATAAATAACCTATTTACTTTAAATAAAAGTTACAAAAAATACTTAATGGTACGCAGACTGTATTTAGATTACAAAAATACATATGATTCGCAAATCATATTTCAGAATCTATGGGTCATACTAGTCTATGTATAGCAACATAATATCATACATTATATAAAACTACAATATAATAAATCACTCATCATGCTTGTCTAAACTACAAAATCGAATGTTTAAAATTAAAGCAACACATTTCCTAAAATATCATATATTTTAAATCATAATTAGATAATATCATATATTATTCATGACCAATCATAAAATATCATATATTTTAATTTAGGAATGAGATAGAATCAAATCATATTTTAATCTAAAAAGATAAATCATATTTAATCTTCCATGATTATCCTAACAACTTTAGGAGATTCTATCCTAATTACTAGCCAATCAAATAGTTTTAAAATCAATTATAACATAATCTAATTATGAGATAATCACATTATTTAAATCAATTATTATCCTTTTGGAATATGCTCAAAATATCCTAAACAATCTTATCCAAAATTAACCACTTTAATTATGGATAATTACCAATTTAACAACTTTAAATATGGATAATATCAAATATAACAACTTTTGAATATTTGATTTTATCCTAAACAAAAGATTTTATCTAAAATAAAACTGATTTTATCCCAAAATAATTTTGTAATTATCTTGAAATAATTTTTCAAATAGATTTTTTTTTTGAAAACCGTGACTGCACGGTGCTGGCTACTTTGCAACAGCCACTGGCGCAAGGCAGCAGCACCCCGTAACAGTGGCAGCCACGACAGCAGCGTACAACACTTGCACAGCTACTGCCCCAGTCACCTTGGACCGCCGCCCTCCCTTCCCCTCCCTCTTGGACTGACTTGCAGGTCGGTAGCCGCCGTGGCTGCGCCACCCAACCGCAGCTGTCGGCCTTAAAACTATTTTTTTGGTTTTTAATTTAATCAAAATAACTTTTATTAAAATTAAATTAAATCTGTCCAAATTTTAAAATTAAATCATCATTCAATATTATTAGGGTTCATCATAAATTAATCCCAATTTAATTTTAACTCTTAGAATTAAATCAATGATCATACACAAAACATTTTTATGCATAAATAAATCTGATTAAAATTATGAAACATAAAACAAATCAAATTAAATCAAAATCAAGCACAAAAATCATATTTTAGGCTTTGAATTTTAGAAAATCCGAATATTTTAAGGGTTAAGGTTTTTTGAAAAATTCGAAACTAGTGTTCAAAATTTTCGAATGTTCTAGGGATTAATTCGGTCCTCTTCATGGCTATTTGAGCATAATTAAATCACATTTAATCAATCCCAAAAGTTTAATCACATTAAATATAACAATTGAACCATAATTAAATTATTTTTCCCTCTTAATTGATTATATAATTTGTAACATGGACTTCAAATTAATCGTATTAATATGATCAAGCGCGTTCATGCAAGAGGCTAACTGATACCACTGTAGGAGTTTACTGATACCACTATAGGAGTTTATAGGTACTACGCAACGGAAAATCATGTATCATATTCAATCTAGCACCTAATTCCAAGATCACATGCATCAAACACAAGACACATAATCATACCTTTAAAGTGTGAATTCCACGTAGCAATTAATTGAAAAATCAAGGAGAGAATAGAGCCCCAAGCGTTGCTCCTCTACTTAGTCCACGAGCTTCAAACAAGCCGTCCACCAATACTAGATTGGTCGAGTGATTGAGGAAAACCGCGATCATCACCTTTAATGGACTAACCGACCACCACGATCCACCACCACCACAAACCACCACAACCGGCGTAAGGGAGGAGGAGAGATCTGTGAGAGAAAGGAGAGATTGGGAGGGCTTGGTCTCGTTTTTTCTAATTTGGGTTTTGATCTTACTGATCAGCTGAATTACTGTGTCATGCAAACCCTAGGCACCTAGTCTATTTATAATCACATTATAATAAGACTAGGGTTAGGAGGCCCAAAACCCTTCAATCCATTTCATGTGGCCGACCATACTAGGGGATGAGGCCCATCTTGGGCCTCGTCCTCTCGTGCCCGATCTAGACCCTTTGTGTGACCCTATAGGATCTGTCCAATTGGGCTTTGGGATATTTTACTAGCCCAAAGATCATTAATCTCTAGCTATGATAAAACGATGACCCAAATGTCCGAACTTAATCATCTCCATAATTTGATTCATTTATATATCTAGTAATTGCACATGACGAAGACATAATTCCTTCACTAATCGGCTACTACAAGATCAAGGATGCCAAGTGTTATAGAACAATTAGAGGGCATAATACCATGAAGAACAATTAGAGGGCATAATACCATGTTAGGATCTATGAAGAACAACCAAACGGGGCCCATTAACCGTCTAGAACAAGATCAAGGATGCCAAGTGTTATA